CATGGTAAATGATTGGAACAGATCACAGCAGAAAGTAAATCTCTCTCTCTCTAAATGTTAGTTCTTATAATCATCATCAATGCAGATTTATGTACATTAAGAACCAGTTTAGGTACATCTAAAGTATATTAAAGAAGAAGCACAAAAATACATTTGACAGCACCACAATTAAAGTTAACATTTGTTGAATTTATTAATTCATTTGTTTCCACTACAAAAATGTGAGAGGTAATACATTCTTGACAATATTGTCTTCCTTATTTGTCTCCAACGATTATATAAAGCCATAACAATAATTCATTGGTGGTTAATTAGTAAAAAAAATTAATCTATTACTTTAAACCCTTAAACGATAATGAAAAACTTGCTTTACAATTATTCTTTACAATTATTAAATTGTATATTTAACGGATTTCTGCTTACAAATTTATATTACTTTTCTAATACTATATTACTATGTGAATATACAAATTTAGGAAAGTATAAATTTTTAATTCAAATATATATTACTAGATGAGTCGAATAGATTATATTAATTAATTCATGAAATGTAAAAGCTACACACGAGTATAATATTATAAACACGAATAATTAAATAATTTCTGAAATATTTTCAAAAGTTAAGAAGTTCCCTCCATAATAAATTCTAAGATTCTTTAACCATATATTTTCCGTTCCTAATAACCCACTACCTCCTATATCAACGCTAACCATATAGATATCTAAAGTAATTATCACTATCCCGTCTATATCTCTCATTTATCTAAAAACAAATCAATTTATTTATTCTCTATCCATAACAAATTCGCATATTCTTAAAATATATTCTGAAATCTATAAATTAATATCACAAACTACAAAGATAGTAACAAAATTTTGAATTTATACTGTTCGCAGTGCAAGTTTTAAATTATACCTTCCACCATCTATATTCCCGCTTACCATATATTTCTAAAACATTATTGTTACTAATATTTTCTTTCTATTCCCTCAAACTAAAAAATACTGTTCCGAATCCCTAAAATTCTCTCTATAAATACATGATTGTTTCTGTAGTCATTTCATATATTAAGCAGCATTTATATATACCAAAAACCTCTACTCCCTTAAGCCTTGAAAGTTCTTTCCAATGGCTTCTATAACAAACCTATACTCTATTAAGCCTTTCAAAACCCAGTGGAGAGTCCACGTACGGATCTTGAAGGTGTGGAAACAGTATCTGAATGGTGTCGAGACCTTGGAAATGGTGGTTGTAGATGATATGGTATGTAAATTCTCATTCAAATCTGTATAGTATTCTTTTTATATTAGATTCGAACTACTATGTATTACTATTTGAACATTCAGTGATTAATTATGTTTTTTAATCTTATGTATCTTGCAGAACCAAACTATGCATGTTTCTCTAAAGAAAGAGTACATCAAAAAACACGAAAACGTGTTGGAGGAAGGGTTAAGTAAGATCATTACTAACTTTCAGGTTGCACACAATGGTGGAAAGTTTCGTACGACTCCTCATGTCTACAAGATCCAATTCGCAAGCACAACATCTGTACGACCAGCCGAGGATATTGATCCTAATATCCTTGGATTGAAATTCGTCAAATTCTCGGACATTCATGAGGGCAAACTCAATCCGGATTTCTTAATAGGTATTGAGATGTAACAACTATATATTGATGGCCGTACTAATAACGATTATTCTAATATGTTTAATTACAGATGTTGTTGGTCAGATTGTTAGTATTTGGGAGGTCGAAATCCTCAATGTTAACAAGAAGCAGACAAAAAGACTTACCATGGAAATCAGAGACACTGAGTAAGAATCTATGTTTTTATACTTTAGAATTTATTAGTACAACTAAATCCTTAAAACGTTAACATGTGTAGAAATGTTCGCCTAAACTGTGTGCTATGGGGACCTTATGCTTCAAATCTGGAGAGTTTGGCAACTAATACAACCGAAGCTGTTTTTGTTGTTGTCTTGCGGTTCTCAAAGCTAAGGCTTTACCAAGGTAACATCATCAAATCATATGATATTCAAATGGTTTTCATATACTAACTGTTTTTATAAATCATCCAGGTGTTTGGAGTGTTGGCAATTGTTACAATTGTTCAACTGTTTTAACTAATCCAGATATCCCTGAGGTTTTAGCGTTCAAAGAAAAGTATTGCACTAAACCCTAAATTTTAAATCATGTTATATAACATTGCATACATAATATATTTTTTTCCTTATTAACCATTATGTAGGCTACCTGCTGATGGTATTACTATATCCTACACACATCCAAATCAGTTGACAATCGTCAATTCTGTCTCTGTTCGTGATGATTTCTTCTTACATAGTCCTCGAAGGACTATAAGTGAGATAATAGCTGCATCTGAGGTTAAATATTTTAGATTGTTTGTAATTGTTTTATATCATTTAAAATTATTCTATAATGAAATATGATATTTTTACCTTCTAGGTTGGAAAATGTGTTACCATGGCTACAATCATGTCAATTGACACCGAGTTTGGTTGGTATTACATGTCCTGTAAAACCTGTTCAAAAAAAGTTCTTCCACATGATATGGATGCAATGAGGGAAAAATATCCTGGCAGACCTTTCAAGAAACAGTTATGGAAGTGTGGTAAATGTAATACTGATGTTGAAGAAGTCATTCCAGCGTAAGTACATAATGTTACATCTTATTAGTAACATTTATTAATATTATTTGTATTTATATTAGATTTTACAATATGCAGGTTCATGCTTACATTTCGTGTAATGGATAACACTGGAGAAACGAAATTTCTTTTATTTGATAAGCTTGCTATAGAAGTTGTCAATCAGACTGCCTCTCAGCTTACTCAATTGGTTGATGAGGTATATTTTTCGCATCATCTGTCTATATATCAATCCGTTTTTGTCACTATTGTTTAACTTAATTGTTATTCTATAATTTTTTTTTTTATAGATTCAGGATCCGGATGTTTTACCTATGTCCCTGAGCAACATATGTGGGAAGACTTATCTTTTTAAGGTTGCTATTGAAAGTTCAAACATTGTCTTCAATAGTGACACTTACAAAGTTATGAAGATCGTTACACAAAGTGACCTGGTGAAGGAGTTTTCAGAAATTTCTGTGTCTCAGGTCATGAACATAAGATCATACTAATATGTGTTCAACTTATAACGCATATCTCTTATTACTAAAATATTTTGTGTCGTGTCACAGAACACTATTGAAGCTAAACATGAAGAACACGTTTTGACATCTCTCACTACAGAGGTTGGTATTCTTCTCGATATCGGATCCATAATCATATTTTTTATAATATACTTTCTTATAAGATATTCTTCTATATATTGAAGATCATACTTTTTATAATATACTAGATATTTTTAATTAATTTTCTGTTACTTATAGGCTCCACTCTTGCTTGAAGATGACTATGAGGATGTGAAGACACCGTCCTCGAAATGCAAAAGCAATGATAGTGAAGAGATCGGAAATGACAGTGGGGAGCTTTCTGTAGCTTCAAAGAAAACCAAAAATGATTTCAAAAATGGAGATGATGCGAAACATACTGTGCTGAAGCCGGTCAAGAAAGAAAAACCAGATGGTTGAAGAAGTGTGATATCTTTATTCATCCTGCTTCCATTTGTCTACTATTTCGTTTCCTTTATTTTCTTAATTGAATTTTTCACATTTTAGGCTGTTCGTTTTATAAGTTTCAATTTAATATTTTGATGTTTTGCAATATTATTAATAAAGCAGGTTATCTAAATTTGGCTGTTATTTCTGATGTCTACACACTATTAAAATGTTTACGGTTATTTAAACCTTAAATATTATTGACACACGATAATACAGTAGTGCAATTTTGATGATTTACATATTTTTAATAATATGTTACCATAACCTAATTCGAAAAAATGTAACAATTATTGACGTTATGATCTCACATAAACACGCAACTCTTCTATTTAAATCAAATGTTGAAAATAACACTGCTTTTTAGTACTTTTCGATATGATTCGATATACTTTAGATTTTTCGAAGCATGTATAACTTTAGATGATTGTTAATAATAATTTTTTATTGTTATTAATACTGCTTTTAGTACCAAGTGGAATGTATGATTCAAAAATTTTGTATTTTCCCGCTTATTGGTATATGTTGAAATAATTTAAGTTGTTATTAAAGATATGAAGTTTTTCCAAATATTTTGAATGTAAGTTATGGTAACAGAATTTCAAATTATTCCTACTATTAAGAAACTCATACTAATGATTTTGAAGATAATTAGTTAAGCGAATATATGTAAGTGTTTTACCTCTAATTAGTACCAAGTGGAATGTATGATTCGAAAATTTTAAAAAGTTCCCGCTTATTGGTATATTTTGAAATAATTGAAGTTGTTATTAAATATATGAAGTTTTTCAAATATTTTGAATGTTAGTTATGGTAACTGAATTTCAAATCATTCCTAATATTAAGAAACTCCTACTAATGATTTTGAAAATAATTCGTTAATCGAATATATGTAATGGTTTTACCCCTGATTTGATTGCCTGTAAATAGCAACTAGATTACAAATTATGGAGTATTTGATATGCAATAATTGAGAAACATTCCACTATTGTTATCTTCTTTCCAATATAAGCTACTATATTGGAAATATCTATGTTTGAATGAAGTAGCTCAAGCAAATAACGAGATATGAGAAAAAGTAGTGTTCTCGGTGAAAATTCAGCTACCGAAGACGGACGATCATCAAAGAAATCAAAGAAAGATAGAAGTTTGCTTGGTACGAACATACTATTTTTAGAATATTTATACTAATCATTTGTTGCATTTGTATTTGTTGTCAATTGTATGTTACATGCAAAATTACAGATTCCATCAATACCAATGATAACAATGCGCAATCAAGTAAAACAACTCACCAGCCTGTTGTTCGTGTTGCATTTAATACAATACTTAGAGATCTCACGAACTCAAACAACACGGAAAGGAGTTCTCAGTCTACCATGACACAACAACTTAATCGCAGTTAGTTGTAGTTCCTTATGTAATCATAAGTATTGTATTTGTATTGAACTTTATATTTTCTTGCTAACATTGTTTAACAATTTCAGATTACGCTCGCCCTTCGAATAAAGAGAACATAACACAAGGCTTAATTGTCAATGACTCTTCTACAATTTCAAATAGATCAGGTTTCTTGAATTGTATTTTGAACCTGTTCATTGTATCATTCCTCTAGCTACTTATATAACTCTAATACTGATGTTGACACTGTTCAAATTACAGTGTTATGCCTCACTGATTGTACAAATCAAAATCAGGGTCCGAAAGCTATACCAACGCGTAAATGTCTGACTACTACTCAGATACCAACGCAAGCAAGTTTTGTAACTACGCAAGGAGATTCAAATATAAGTTGTATACCAATTTCTACAGAATTTGGTACCTCTCAATTATCACGAAGTAGACCACCATTGTCTCGGCTAGCATCCAAATCTAAATCTGCGAGTAAGAATTCTTTGTTATCACATCTATAAATAATGTTGTTCTTAACACTATATATCTAAACGTCATTTTATATAAACAGCACTATTAAAAACCAAAACAACCAAAACAAAGGCCTTTCGAAATTTGGAGTTGTCATGTATCCTTACCTAGATTTTTGTTATATATATTGTCCTTATTACAAGTTTATATATTGGTATTTGGATTTAATTTTCGTTTTAGTTACAAAAATATCCTTGACCTCTCTAAGTTAAACTTTGGAGGAATAACTCTGTCTTCAAAATTTCTGAATCGATTAAAGGCAAAAATATGCATAACACTGTTTTCGAGCAACAGAGAATTGCAAGATTAAACAGGAAGCAAAAAATCGATACAACTAAGAATTCCTGCACTCAGGCCTCAGGTAATCACTCATTAAATCTTTAAAACTTATTAATAAATCATACATTATTATTATTTTATATAGATTTTTGATTAAAAAATAAATAGTGCCTGTGTTTATAAATTGTTCTTATTTTATTATTATTTATAGTATTAACTCAGGAAAATCAAAATACTACTATTAACTGGGAGCATGATAGTCTACAAATTCATGATGACCAAGAAACTTTCAGTGAAAACGATCAATCTGATGATGACCTAGACTCTGGAAATGTTGAAATATCTGATGATCAACAGCAAAATATGCGACCTACAATCCAGGATAATGGTAATCAGTTTCTTCAAAACATCACCGTCTTGGATATATTTTTTGACTATACCTGTTATTCCCAGAGTCTATCATCTTTAGCAGTCACTATTGTGATTTATTTTTTCAGGTTATCATGATGATGGTGATCCATTATTTGAATGCAAACACTTTACGGCCCGTATGTGGTTTAATGAGAGGATTGGCAAAAAAAGGAGAGGAAAGAATTATATTTTTACACTATGCTGTATGCAGGGAATGCAAGCACTGTACGGCCCATTATTTGAATGCAAGCACTGTACGGCCCGTATGATGTTAGATCATTTTAATCCGATGGTGAAAGCTTTCCGTTCTTACAAGGATATGTTTCATGTTGATCAGCCAGAAGACAATGCCAAGTTGGTATTGGTAGCAAATAGAAATAAGGACGCACGCACTCATAACATGCCTACGTCATCCGAAGTTGCTGCTCTAATACCAGGAGATTTCCCTGAAGGAATGGATAAACGAGATATTGTGTTAGAAACAATAGAAGGAAAGCTAAGGAGGATTAGTGAGCTATATGTTGGGTATCTCACACTTCAATACCCTCTGTTGTTTCCTTATGGTGAAGATGGTTTTCAGGTTGGTATTGAAGATGGATTTGACGATGGAAAAGAACGCAAAAGGAAAACGATTAGCATGAGAGAGTTCTATGCCTTTCACATACAAGATAGGTTATTGGAATCTCAAGCAGTTATTCGGTCTAAACGTCTGTACCAGCAGTATTTGGTGGATGTTTATACTATGATTGAGTTTATCCGTCTACGTTACCTCAGGAAAAACCAGAAAAAACTTCGATCTGATAAATATGTCAATCTGGAGAAAGTTGCTAACGATGGCAACTCTGATCTATCTAACAATGGCAAAAGAATATTGATACCTGCGTCTTTTACAGGTGGTCCACGATACATGAATAACAACTACTTGGATGCAATGGCAATTTGTAAACATTTTGGTTTTCCAGATTTGTTTATAACATTTACTTGCAATCCAAGTTGGCCAGAGATTGTTAGGTATACAAAAAAACGAAATCTGAAGCCAGAGGACAGACCAGATATTTGTTGCAGAATTTTCAAAATGAAGCTAGAGAGTTTGATGTCTGATTTGACAGAGAAGAACATATTTGGAAAAAGTGTTTGCGGTGCGTTTTCATAACTCTTTTGTGATGTTTAGTGATATAAAAATATCATTTTTAAAATACTTAAATAATAACAACTTTGTCTCTTTATGTACCAGGAATGTATACTATTGAATTTCAGAAAAGAGGACTCCCTCATGCACATATATTGCTGTGGATGGCTCAGAAACACAAATTCCCAACCCCGGAAGCGATTGACGAAGTAATATCTGCAGAGATACCCGATAAAGATACTGACCCTTACCTATACGAAGTTGTTAAAAAAAAACATGATTCATGGTCCATGTGGAGCGATCAACAAGAGTTCACCATGTATGGTTAATGGAAAGTGTTCAAAGATGTTTCCAAAGAAGTATTGTGATAGAACTTCTATTGACAGCAATGGTTATCCACATTATATGCGAAGGAAAACAGATGCGTTTGTTGAAAAAAACGGATTGAAGATTGACAACAGTTTCGTTGTTCCATATAACCGGGAACTATCTCTTCGTTACAGAGCTCATATTAATGTGGAGTGGTGCACTCAAGCCAGGTCTATCAAGTACTTATTTAAGTATATCAATAAAGGACCAGATCGTGTACTTGCCACTATTAAAATGGTAATACAGAAGGTACAACGTCTGTTAATTTAGACGAAGAGGATGCTAGAGATGAAATACAAGAATTTTTTGACTACAGGTACTATATTGTTTAATTTAATTTATATTTGAATGTATATATTATTTGATAAATCTTTGGTTTTACAAAACATTAAGTCGTTACTAAAATTAGTTAAACGATTCGACTATAGGTATGTTTCTGCATGTGAAGCTGCTTGGCGTTTACTGGCTTTCTTAATTCATTTCCGAACTACACCTGTGGAGAAACTATATTTTCATCTTGAGAATGAGCAGTCTGTGCTTTATGATGATGATGATCCAGTTGAGACAGTACTTAATCGTAGATCAATCCAAACATCTATGTTCCTTGCGTTTTTTGAAGCTTGCAATAAATATCCTGAAGCAGAGGATCTAACCTACGCAGAGTTTCCCACTATGTTTGTTTATGATAGGAAGAAAATTGAGTGGAAACCACGACAACAAAAAAATAGAATAGCTGTTGGGAGATTAACTTATGTCCCTGTGTCATGTGGTCAGTTATACTATTTACGTGTTCTATTGAACATACGTAAGTGTCCTAAAGGGTTTAATGATCTAAAGACAGTAGATGGTGTGTTATATCCATCTTACAAAGAAGCCTGCTATGCAATGGGACTCTTAGATGATGACAAAGAATATATAGATGGTATAACTGAAGCCAGCAATTGGGGTACCGGATTCTTTCTTAGAAGATTGTTTGCGATTATGCTTCTTACTGATTGCTTAATAAATCTCGGTGGGGTTTGGGAAGAGACATGGCATCTTCTTTCTGAAGATATTGTTTACAGGAGGAGGTCCGTAGAAAACAATCCAGGTAAATTCCACATTTCTAATAAGTATTTATGGATAACATAGATCTAGATAGACCGTTTATTTCATTGTTAATGATCAGTAATAAGCTACTTCGTGTAACATATTTATTATATTATTGCAGATTTAACTCTTGATGATCAACAACTGAAAAACTTGACTTTGGATGATGTAGAATCGATATTGCGAAGTAATGGAAGCTCACTTGCTAACTACGATGGCATGCCTATTCCAGATAGTACCAATCATAATCCCGCTATTAATAGGTTGCTATTCGATGAACGCAATTATGACAAAGCTGAAATGGCTGCTATTCATGATTCAATGCTGCCTGGTCTGACTGATGAGCAAAGGAAAGTTTTTTCAGAAATTATGGAAGCAGTTACTGAAGACAAGGGAGGTGTGTTTTTCGTTTACGGTTTTGGAGGGACAGGAAAGACTCATCTATGGAAAATCCTTTCTGCTGCAATTCGGTCTAAAGGACAAATTTTTCTCAATGTTGCAAGTAGTGGAATAGCTTCTCTTTTATTACCTGGTGGAAGAAACTGCACACTCCCGTTTTGGAATTCCAATTAATCCAGATGATGACTCTACTTGCAATATGCATCCAGGTACAGATTTAGCAGAATTAGTCGCTGAGGCATCGCTGATAATATGGGATGAGGCTCCCATGATGAGTCGATATTGCTTTGAAAGTTTGGATAGAAGTATGCGTGATATTATAAGACGCCATGAAGATAAACCATTTGGGGGCAAAGTTGTTGTTTTTGGTGGGGATTTTAGACAAATACTGCCTGTTATAAGTGGTGGAGGTCGTGAAGATATTGTTGCTGCTTCGATAAATTCCTCTTATCTATGGGAGAGCTGCAAAGTTGCTCAGGAAATTAAGAATATGTGACTGTTGGCAGATCTTGATGAAGGCGTTGCTCAGGAAATTAAGAGTTTTTCTGAATGGATACTTAAAGTAGGTGATGGAAAGATTAATCTACCAAATACAGGTGAAGTGTCTATTGATATACCAGAGGAGCTCCTAATTAAACAATGCGATGATCCTGTTAATTCTATTATTGAAGCTGTATACGGTCTTGGATTTGAAGACCAAAACGACCCTAATTTCTATCAAGATCGAGCTATTTTGTGTCCCACAAATGCGATGTTTCCGTTATCAACGATCACATGTTATCTATCCTCAGAAGTAAGTATTAAAGCAGCGATGTTACTAAAACAATATAGTATCTATATTAATGTTTGTATAACGTTATCTTATTATCCTATTATTTGTAGGTGAGGAGAAGACATATTTAAGCTCTGATTCAATAGACCCATCTGATACATCCAACCAGGATAGTAGGGTACATACTCCAGATTTTTTGAATAATATAAAGGTTTCTGGCTTGCCTAACCATTCATTGACGCTTAAAGTTGGGGCACCTGTTATGTTATTGAGAAACATCGATCCTAAGGGTGGTCTATGCAATGGAACAAGACTACAAATTACTCAGCTAGCTGATCATGTGATAGAGGCTATTATACTAACAGGTGAGACTCATGGTCAGAAGGTTTTTATTCCGAGATTGAATGTTTCCCCACCAGAAGGTAGATTTCCTTTCAGAATGCGATGCAGACAGTTTCCTCTGACAGTAGCATTCGCCATGACAATCAATAAAAGTCAAGGTCAAACACTTTTAAGTGTTGGTTTGTATTTACCTAAACCGTGTTTTTCACATGGTCAGTTGTATGTGGTCTGTCTAGGGTAAAGTCGAAGTCTGGATTGAAGGTACTTATTATAGACAATGAAGGAAAACCTCAGAAGCAAACCATGAACGTCGTCTTCAAAGAGGTTTTTAAGAAAATATATCCAAAACAGTAGGAAGGTTAGTACAAATAGTATATTCATATATAGATTTCTCTAACGTGTCCAACTGTTATAACTAACATTTGCATGTGTTTATATATTTCAGAATTTTATATTTTAGTTGGTACCTTCAGATGATATTCAGATGCAGCTTAGCACGATGTCAATTTTTCTAAGGAGTAGTGATCTTTGTCAGTTATTTGAAAAGGATTAAAGATTTAAATTGTTGGTATTTGTTTAACAAACTGGAGGCATTTATTTAAAATGTTTACGTGTCTTATGAATCATGACCTACAAATGTTAAGGTAACTCATCACTGAATCTTTTACATTAACTAAAACACTAACATTTACTTTGCATCAATATATGACCTTATGAAACAATACAAGGAACAAAAATATTGTCACCATTTACTTTGCATCAATATATGAACTTAATTCTTCTAAATACAATTATCTGACTTCATAGTATTTAATCACAATCGTATTAACCTACATGAATTAGAATCTTCCACGAATCTTAACAATATAATTATAGTTACTATATATTCGCTGTTGCCTTTTATTATGTTATATAAAATAAAAAAACTAGAAAACAAATATTTGATGTTATCTTAGTCCTATATATACGTTAGGTATAATATTCGAAGTTTAATTCACTTCCTAAATCCTGAAACTTTTTTTTTTAAATCAAATATGGCTTTCATTGATAGGTTGTCTGATTTGGATCAAAGTACTACAGATTGGTCTATTAGAGTTAAAATAGTATGTATGTGGAACCAATTCACAATACATAAAGGGAATACCTTAGATATGATTCTACGTGATGAAGAGGTGAGTTTGCTATATACATTTGATTCCTTTGGTCTACAATCACGCCTTCATTTCTAATATTATATTTATCTTTAATTCTTAGGATCATACAATCCATGGAAGAGTAATCCCAAAACTACAATCATTTGTTTATTGATGTACTCAAGGAAGGCTATTGGGTTGAAATTAGTGACTTTGTTGTTATTCCAAACAACTTTAATGATATCAGGATTACTTCGAACTATATCATTCAGTTCATTGTTTCTACTCAAGTAATACCGATCAAAATTGTTGAAGGTTGGTACTTCATGGTTTGCATATATGATATTTCTCTAACATATTGACTTCTTTTTCTTTTTATTACAATATATAGTCAGCAGAACGAGTATTATGGTGTAAGATGCAGTTATAATTGAAATGTTTTCATACCAAGGTATATTTTATTCCTATTAATTTATGTTCGTCTTTATTTGTATAACATTTGTCTATCTGTGATGTACAATTAAATATTATCAACATCTACAAATGTTTTACCATGTTTATACAGATTACAATCTTGGTCTCCGATTGTCAAATCTCCATCGGATGAGTTCTCTATGAAGCGACTTCTATCAATACTTTTATTATTCTGAATCTACTTATTTTGATGGCTATATTTCATTAGTAATTTAATTTCGACCTAAATCTTTCAATGTTTACGTGTTCGTCGTTAATATGCCAATACTATTATGTATTTCAATCATTCCACTTATTTAATAAAATATCATGGCTTCGGTAATAATCTATTATTATAATGTTTTAGGTCAAATTAACCGCTTCTTAAAAATTAGCCAAATGTCTTATAAACCTTCACCTTTTCCATATTATGTATACATGCGAATATACATTTCATTTATTGTAGATTTATACCATACATTATGAAGATTATAAAACTGAAATCTATTATATAGCTGTACAGGGTAGAGTATAACGATTGTAAAGGACAAAAAATATCGAATATTCTCTTTTCTTTTCGTGTTGATTTGAAAACACAATGCAAGAAAGCTGTTTGTATTTTTGGTAATCAATACGGTTTGACTGGCTGTGTAATTGTTAGTTTCGATATTATAGAATATTGTAGAACTTTGATATCTAAAGTATATATATATATATTTTATATATTCGACCATATCGTTTATCATCTTCTCTCATATAAATGAAAAAAACATAAAACTTAACTATCAATTTCTAGATTTACAAAATCTCACACAAACCTACTTTCATTTAAACCATCAGTTACTATTTCTCTCACATATATCTCTCTCATTTTTCATCTTCTTAACGCTTCTAATTGTTTAAACTCGGGAAATTTCATTCCATGGAGGTATATCATCTGATTTCAGATCTGCATCCCGGTCAAACGAACTGGACTATAAGAGTTAAAGTCTTGAAGAAATGGCATGTCAAGCATCCTAGCCAACGTCATTCCTTGCAGTTTATGTTGATGGATGAAGAGGTATTTGTTCCTAATTCTGTATTATTGTACCAAGATTTCAATTACAATTCAAACATTGTTTAATAGTTTCTAAATATCCTAAATTATCCAGGCTGAAACTATTCAAGCTTTTCTCTATATTCCCGATTTGATCAAGAGTTTCGACATGTTAATTGAAGAAGGTCAATGGATTTGTTTTTCTGAATTTGTGGTATTTGGTGAAACGTCGGAGGAACCAAATTCTCCAATTGGAAGTTGTATTAGATTTTTAAAAAACACTGAAGTTGATCTCATTGATCCTATCGAAGTTGACACTCCTCATGGTTTTCTCAAATTTTCTGATGTTCTTGGTGGCAAAACTGAGCCTGGCATTCCCATCGGTATAACTATTTCCTTTTCTAAATATCTTGAATAAATAAATTGTTCAAATACAAAATAATATACTAATGTTGCATATAAGTTTGTAATTTTTTTTCTGTAGATATTATGGGTTTTGTTGTCAATATTGAGCCACTGGTCACAGTTACTGATGATTCTTACCCTGAAAGACAAGATAAGAAAACCGCCAGCATCTCTTTCACTATCAAGGATGATAAGTAAGACTCCATTTTAAGTTTTATGCTTTTTCCTTATTCTAATTATCATTGTTTGATTAACTAAAATTTGTAATTACTATATCGGGGGTTATTATTGTCGTGTGTTGCATTAGGATCACTTGCACTTGATTTTAATGACAAAATTTTCACTGAAAAACAATTACCATTTGATTGTCTGTTGACCGACTGGTCTGTGAAACATGGAGAAGGTTAGTTTATGTTATTTCTAAGTAGTGATTATTATTAAACATTTGTTTGTTTATTTATAGATAGATGTTATAACATATATATTATCGTCATAGGTGGGTACTATCTTAGGTCTAGAGGAGGGATTTCAAAGATCGAATTTTATCTTAAAATTCCACAAGCCAAAAATTTCGTTAGAAGATAAGCCATTATTCAGAGTTTCAAAGTAGTATCATTTTTTATTAGAATGTTTGCTTAATATAGTTTTATTATTAACAGGTTTTGGAACAACCAACAAAAACCTACCGATGTTATTGATTTGGGTGCGAACGATGATGAAGCAAGTACATCTTCCGTGAAGAATAGAAACTGATCCAATAATCTATCTTTAGTTGTCTCGATTATTTTTCTATTTATAAGTTATGTGTGATTTATATATGTTTAGAAATCACTCAAGACTATGAGATGTTTTTTTATTATGAACTCTTTCTATCATTGAACTTAAAATATAAGATGATTAAAACTTCTTTACTATTATGCTATTCAAATCTTCTTTGATATTACTGCATTCTAAAGCTATAACGTATCAGATATTTTTATTCTTTTGTTAATCGGTATTCACAACATATAGTTTATGTTTTCTAATTTTAATGTTTTGATTTACCATCATACTTTCATTATTTTGTTATATTTATAAGTTTAATATTAATGGAATTTACGTAATTAAACATTGTTTGTTGGCTGGTATATTGCAGAATTTATTACTCTATTCTCTGCATGCAAAGTAAAAATAGTCAATTTGATTTGATCGATATCTTATGCAGCTTTTAAGTAAGATTTGATTTTTTTTATTTACAAAAATTAGAAAGTCTCCATTATTGATATCGATCTTTAATATCTAAATGATTATTGTACCAAATTTTGTATAGATATCTTAAATTTACATTTACATATGAAAATATAAAAGGAAATTATTTATCTATTCTCTGCATGCAAAATAAAAATACTCAATTTGATTTGATCGATATCTTATACAGCTTTTAAGTAAGATTTAGTTTCTTTTTTTTTTTCAAAAATTAGAAAGTCTCCATTTTTCAAAAATTATACTAATACACTAGATTCTTCGAAAGCATGCATCGTTTGATTTATAGTCCAAATACTTATTATAGTCTCTGATCAGAAAGCAGGTATATTCAATTGATTTGATAGTATTCCACTTGCAGCTTTTCATCAGTAACTTCCTTTATTTCCTTTCAAATATCAAAAAATTGTTCTTCTCAAATCTGACACCGATTCAATTAGATTCGTTGAACATATCCCTATATCAAACCAAAAGAAGCAAACCATTTAACTATTTGTTATGGATACATTTATTCCAACCATCACGATTTAACCTACTCAATATTCTCTATATATTACCATCTTCTGTCGTCTTTTACTTCATCCTTTACCATAAATTGAAACATTCCCTACCAAAAGATCTGTAATACAACTAAGATGGCTGACTACCAGATGGTGAATGACTTAACTCCATGGGAAGAGTTCAAACAAACTATCCAAGTTAAGGATTTCAAACGATGGGAATCAACTGATTCACAAGGCCGCCCTGGAATGGATTTCATCTTCGTTGATGAAGATGTAAGCATCGAATTTTTTTTGTTTTTTTTAGTATTTTTTCTGTCTGGACATTTCTCATATATCTGTTTGAATATTAATAATACTCTTTCAGGGCTTCCGAGTGACTGCTTTCATTTGCAACGCTGTGTTGTCTTACTTTGGAGAAGTTTTACAAGAAGGTCGATGGGTTAAACTTTCTCAGTTTCGATTAGTTAACTCTAATTGGAATGCAAGAACCACCAGACATGCGTACCAGATCATACTCACTCAGAGGACAAAGGTTTCAACTATCAGACCTTTGACTGAGGATCCTTTCATTAAGTTTGTTGATTTCGCATCGGTTTACAATAAGCCGTATACTCACTATTATCATATTGGTAAGTATACCTTTCTATTTTAAATTTACTAATAAATTCATTAATTTCTTATTGTTGTTCATGGATTCTTTATACGTAATTTATATTATGTTATGTAGACATGCAGTGAATTTGTTTGGTTTTACATACAGATTTGCTTGGTGTTTTGGATAAGGAGATTGGAGATGTTGTTGATGTTGTTCAGTCTGATGGAAAAGCTGTTCCAACCCTTAATATTTGTATCCGAGATCTTGAGTAAGGATTTTAGTAAGTTAACAAATTCTAATGATTAGTATATGTATTTAACTAATTTTTGTTGTTTATTTGAAGGGACTACAAACTTAACTGTGTCGCTCAAGATGATTTGGCCTATGAAATCAAGGAAAAGTGTAACTGTGACTTAATGAAAGGACCATATGCGATATGTGTATTGACTGACTGGGTTGTTAAGAAAAACTTCAGTAAGTCACCATTATATCTTTAATTTTTTTTGTAATTCCATATATTATAATCATTTGTCTTCATTCCTGATATTTATATACTTTATAATTGTAGATGAACTGACCATACATGCTTATGAAGGAGGAAAGCTTTCCCGTTTCATAGTTTATCCACCACTTGATGAAGTTTTCATACTCAGGAGTAAGTAATAAAATGTTATACTAATTTTAGTCTTTCTTTCATATAATATTATACATATACATATTTATTTATTTCTGTAACTTATAATTTTGTTCAGGATTTGGGATAAGCTAAGGGCATCGGCCCACAATGCTTCATCTTCAGAGGCAAGGGATGCTTAGTGTGGGAGCAGTCTGAAATCAGTTCGTCTTTATGTTTTTTCTTTTTATTTCGTTAATCAAAAGGAGTGATGTCCTCCTACTTTCAGCAATGTTAAGACTTAAGTTTTATGTTGGCTTTATTCGAACTTATACTATGTTATGTTACTTTCGTTATTATCAGTACTCTAACTATAATTGATCTCTATTGCATCTCAATTGATAATTATCTGGATGTCTATTAAATAAAACGGTAGTATATACTTTATTAACTTAGTTTTTGTCTTATACATATGTATCAGCTAATTTGATATCCTATTTAATGTTTACTACTTTAGATTTATGGTTAAGATATGAAATGATTTCAATTTAGATTATTTGTGTCTTTTTTTTTTAATTTTTAATGTTTCCTATATCATATCATGGAAAATATTAATATTGATAAACCGTTATTAACATTTGTTTTTGAATTAACTGTTTATTTACACTGTATAATAATGATATGATTTTGCTAAAACACTAACCATACAAAAATAACATGGTTTAGATATTAATATATAGAAATATAACAAATTATATATTTTGTGTATATAAATATAACAGCAATTGAGACATAATTTATATTAGGAAGTATTGCGTATCTTCATTTAAGAATATTACAATCTAAACTACCTTTTCTTATCAAATACGTCTTCATTTACAAATCTTTTATAAATACTATTGTTTTAACGTAATTATCAATACTGCCTTATCAGAATACTAAAAGCAATTTTAAAGATTCGGTTATTATATTGTAGATTATAACTACTATAGATTTTACGTAATTATCTATACTGCCTTATTAAAATACTAAAATCAATTTTTAAGATTCGGTTAATATATTGTAGATATGTTCTATATATCGTGATTTATTCATTTCCTTTTTGTTAGGAAACGTCTTTATTCGAGCCCTCGCAAATTCACAATGTCAAATCGATTCCCTATATAATATATTGCCTTCTCAGTTAAACTTTTTACATCACACATTCAAAGAAACCTAAACCTAAAGGTTTCATACTACTTATAATGGCTGACTATCAAATGGTTATGGATGTCACTGCCTGTGAAGAGTACAAACAAACCATCAAAGTGAAGATTTACAAACGTTGGGAATCCTTTGATGGAAATGGTCTCCCAGGAATGAGTTTCATTTTGATAGATGAAGATGTAAGTTTTTATAAAAGCACTATATATTTAATTTTAGTATTTTAATATTCATATTTTCTTACACAAACTTTTATGAAAAATTCAGGGATCTAAAATTGCTGCATCGGTTGACAACCTTCAACTTTCATACATTGAACGTGTTTTCTTAGAAGGTGCTTGGGTTGAAGTTTCTAAGTTTGGTGTGATTAATTCCAACTGGGAAGAAAGAATGACTCGACATGCTTTTCAAATAATCCTAAACAATCAGACAAAGGCCTCGACCATTCGACCTTTGACAGAAGATCCATTCATTAAGTTGACAGATTTCAGTCATGTTTACAATAAGCCATACACACACTACTACCCAATTGGTACATATTTGATTATATAACATACAAAAAATACATATGCTTCATTTATTTATACTTTTTTTGTTTATTAACTACTTTCATGTATACAAATTTATAAATCTGATATATGTCCCAACAGATTTATTAGGTGTTCTTGATAAACCAATTGGAAACATTGTCACTGCTGTTCATCCAGATGGAACAATGGTCCCAACCATTTATTTCCGTATAAGAGATCTTGAGTAAGTCTGTCATAGACAGTATAAAGTTTATTGTTTTTTTCTTCATGAATACAACTTATATTCATTCCTTTCTTAAGGGATTACACGCTTGATTGCGTTCCCCGTGGTGTTTTGGCATATGACATCAAAGAAAAGTGTGATTGCAAATTTATGAAAGGACAATACGCCATATGTGTTTTGACGGATTGGGTTGTTCACAGAAATATGAGTACGTTTAAATAATAGTTCATATTAGATTGTTTTATTACTTTTTAATAATATTCCTAACATATAATATTTGCTTAGATGG